ACACCCAACCCACAGTTTCTCATTTGAAGCTAACTTTAGACCACAGGAGAGGTCAGTGCGGGTAAGGGCAGGCAGACTGAAGAATGGCCAATGTAGTTATTTCTTGAGGCCGTTTGCTGTCTGTATAAGAATCTTAGGGAAAATTCTGAGTAGAAAGCTAGGGGGCCAATCAGAAGACCACTAGTTTGGAGCCTTGGCCATGAGGCCTGGCTCATCAGGGGAAATAATGTAAGAATGCTGGTGGGTTGAGAATGGAATAGGGTGGAGGGTGTATGAGCCATCTAAGACTGGCAGGTAGGTTTGGGGGAAGGAGGTGGGGCTTGTGCCGGTCAGTGTCAATTTGTCACAACCTACAATTGTCCCAGGAGAGAAAACTTCCATTTAGGAAGCTGTGGCTATGTCTGTGAGAGATTATCTTGTTTAGTGGTTGATGTAGGAGACCCCGCCCACATGGCAGTCCCCAGGCAGGTGGGTGTGGGCTGTATAAGAAAGCTAGTAGAGCACAAAGCAGTGCGTGATCTAGTGGGCATTATGTTTCCGTGGTTTCTACTTTTAGCTTCTGCCCTAAGTTCCTGTCATGACTCCCCTCAGTGGCGAATCATGACCTGGAAGTGTAAGAGGAAGTAATTCTTTTCTTCTTCAAATTACTATTGTTCGCAGTACAGCAACAGACAGCACACTAGAACAGGACTGATGAAATGGCCAAGTTCTGGCTGGATAATGGGTCCCAGTTTGGGTTTTGGAGATGAAACATTTCTTTATCCCCCACCCCATCTCTTAATCACTTTACAGCCTGATCCAGCAAGATGAATCACTTCTAAGGTTAAGAGTATGAGTTGGGTAGATGAAGGGAAGTGGGTTGGGAGCAGTGCACTGAACATTGGATATTTAACTGCTAACACTCATGAAAACATATGTTCTTAAAAACCATGCTAACAAGCCGGGCACAGTGGCACATGTCTGCAATCCCAGCACTTGGAGGCAGAGGCAGTTGGGGTTCTGTAAGTTTGAGGCCAGCCTGGTCTACAAAGTGAATCCAGGACAGCCAAGGCTACACAGAAACCCTGTCTCGAAAGAAAAAACAGACAAATAGACAAAAACAAAAACAAAAAAAAAATGTTAACAAGACATGCAAATTTAGAAGGATTTTCGCAAGCCATTTCTTATTATGTCATTGGAGGTAGAGTAGAGCAGGAGAAAACAGGCTTTTCTATAAACCTTACAAAGAATGAAGATGGCCATGGTGGCTCATGTCTATAATGCCAGCACTCAGGAGGGTTACCAAGAGTTTGAGACTAGCCTGAGATACTAGTAACTTCTAGGCCAGCCTGGACTACAGTAGGAGACCTTGTCTCAAAAATATTAATAGTAACAATGGTAATAAATATAAAAATCCTTCTCATTTTGTGATATCTCTAAGAAAATAAACTGAGTAAATAACAAGTATTATATTCTAGGTTGTGGCTTCTCTGGAAAGAGAAAATATTCCTCTGAAAAAATAAAATGAAATTGTCTGCTTGGGCCAGCATTTCCTCGTGGAAGCAGTAAGATCTCTTACTGGGTGATCCGAGCCCTCCATACACAATATTGCTGTTCCACACTGATTGAATGATGGTTGTACTCATCAGTATGTTCCTATGTCTTCCTCAGAGATAGGAGAACACTGGAATGTTTCAGGCAGGATAGTCCTCTGTGTTTTATATGCAAAGGATATTACTGTTGAAACTATAAATTCTAGCACTCTAGTAAACCAATCCACCCAGGCTGTCTCACAGGCCACATAGACATTTGTGTTTGTAATGACCAATTTATTACTCCTGTAATAAAATAACGACATTAAAGTACTCAAGTACATAAGAGGGAATTCAGAAAAATATGATAAACAACAGGTACCTTTGTTGTTAGTCTACCATATTGTTACTTTTTAGAATAGAATAATCTTATTGAAATCCCCAGTAATTAATAGATTACTTCAAAGTGCTACATAATTCAATAGTCGTTGAGAAAATGTAAAATGTAATGAATTCACAAAGAGGTTCCTCCTTGACTGGAAAGCACTGATGTAATTCTCTGAGTGCACAGTTTCTTGGCAGCCGCATATACTTGTAGAAGAAGGATGGGTCCAAGAAAAGTGGTTGAAGGTCCCCTAGTGCCAAAGGGGAGTAAGAATATGGAAATAAAAAATTTTGGCAGGTCTGACTTGCCACATAAGTGCCCAGAAAGAAAAGGACAGTACCTATTTCTTGTTGTTAAGGATGATGATAAAATAAGCACAATGTAAGTTTCAGGGGAATAACAGATGAAATTGAAAAGCATGGATTGGCTCAGGAAGCAAATGGGCACCCTCTATGGACCAGTACTTTGATGGAATCTGCTACTTCCTTAAAGCATTTTCTACTTTCTGCTCCAGTTATCTCTCAGACTAAGCATGTGTAGAGCGGTCAAACATGAAGACCTGAAGTTGAACTGCATCTTTAGAGAAACATAGGGAATAGGATGAGAGTGGGTTCTGGGAAGTAAAAGTTGTCACACACCGAGGAGAAAATAATGTAGAAGCCAACTGCTCAGTGAGTCAGAAAAATGTAGAGTCGTAATATTAGAGCCTGTGAAGTGGAAACCAGATCCGAATTCATAACCTACAAGGGTATAAGTGACACAGAGAAGTCTGTAAACAGCATCAGGGTTATCTGGGGAGACTGAAAGTTTATTATGGACCAGGGATCCTGAATAGCTTAGGTCCTAGGTCTCAAATTAATAATGCAAGCAAACAGAAGACAGCTTGGTGAAGAATGACAAGGATTAAAAGCTAAGGTGATTGAAATGTGTAGAAGGCCTAAGAGAGACAGTGATGGCCTGGCAGAATGCTTGAATGAGAGTATAAAGGTATTGTGGACTTTAAACATGAATACATTGCTTATGAGAACTCAACCTAATCTGTACAGAAGCCATAAACTGGCACAAACACTGCAGAGTTACCCAGGAGCATTTTATCAACGACATGAACATATTTTATTGCTTTGCTCTGAAAATTGGTTGAAAGGAACCGCTAAACAGTATTTGTTGGACAACTGTATTTTGGCTCCCTTTCTAACTCTAACTTCTATGAATTTTACAAGACCGTGAAAACACTTTAGTAAGGATTTTGGCATAATATTTACAATTTCTTTAATAACATTGCTCATGAAATAAGAGTGAGAGAAAGCAATCACTTAGTAAATGAAAGAGGCACAGGCAGGAAGGAGGAGAAATAATTGCTTATCACACTGTTTGTGATGAAGAGAAAAAGTCTTAGCTGAGCTTAAGAAACAGGTTGGGAGCCAAGAACTGCATGCCACAGGAACACGCCTCTCCCTGTCACCGTATCAAGGTACTTACCATTTGGCCGTTTGTGGATCAAGTACCTGTCTAACACATGTGTGACCAGTGGCTTGTGGGAGAGAAGCACTTGGGTCAGAGATATATCCCAACCTGGCACAGGCTTTGGGCATCTGCCATCATTAGTTACAGATCTGCCAAGATGCTTTGGGGAACATTTTAATTTAAATGCCAAGTGTATTTCAACGAAATCTCCCTGCTCTGATCTGTTTGGGATCCAGCATGAAGCAGATAGGGTGCTCATTTTGGAGGGCATTTGTGAATTAGATAGTAGCATCATAAACAACAGCAAACAAGAAAGCAACAACCCATTCTGGGTGTTTGGTCCTCGGCTCAGAGCACTCCAGATAAGAGCTGAAGAATGTTGGCCATAACTTTCTGCCGGTGACATGGAAATGCAGAGGATTAGACTCCACTACAAAAGGGGCAGGATCCTCTGGTAACCGAAAATATCAGTATTAGAGAACTTCAACAGAAAGACCCCTGCATTCTGCGCTCTCTCACAATGTTCTCACAGATACAGTCTATGACTATAAATCTAATAAAGCAAATGAGAAACTTATTTGAAAGTATTTTCCAGCAAAACTATCACAAGACAAAAATATTTTGAAACTTAACTAGGAGGGGAGTTAATATGGAGGGGTGGGGCTGAAAATAATTAAAATGTTGTCTATCCATAAGAAAACATTTGTTAACGAGTAGGCCCCTTTGACTTGTCCATTTTTACAGAAGCATGCCCAGGGATCAGAAGTAATATACTGCAAGAATAACAGGGGAGGATTTTGATCCTGCTTCTGGGCAAGGGTAGGTATGTTTATGAAGCTAAAGCTCATTTTCTCAGGGGCTCCTTGGCGATTTGCTACCATACCATGCAAGATCTCTAAGTTCTGTCCCAGTAGCTGCTCAGTTTTCCTGTATCCGGGGAAAGTGCCTTTCAATACATAGTGAGAGAAAAACTGGGGTGCTAGAGCCAGGTGAGAGGCCGGACCTCAAGGCTCCTGGGATGGAGGGGTGGGCTAGCGGTCCTGCCAGGCTGCACAGCGGCCCTGCACTCTTCCTTGGCTCCAGGAATGGAGGTTCAGGCAAAGCATTTGCATTTGGGAGCAACACGTTCATCACTGATTTTTGTTCCTGTCCCAAAAGATGGGCCTGATTTGGATGGTACCCAGCAGGGACTGGACGAGCAAGCATCGAGCCAGCATCCTTGGTGGCAGAGCAGGATTGGGAAACACTCAGGGAGGCAACAGTGCTAAACCTCCAAGGGACAACATAGAGGCACCAGATAAACTCTGCGGACGTCTTCTTTCTCTCAATGCCTGCCAGCATCCCATCCCTACCTCAGATCCTGTCATCCAGCCACGTCTGTTGAGTTTAGCGGTCCAAGGGCACCCAAGGGGATCGGTTTCTGTACGCGAAATGGGTCTGCTCCACTGAGGAAGGAAACCCAGAGGGAGCAGGGTCCCGACTGAGGAGCTGGGCCTGGATGCCGGGCGCAGCAAGCCAAGGCCACGGCGTCAGGACCGCGGGCCCGCCGCACCCCGGGGATGCCTTCAGGTGCCTGACGGCTGGAGGTGGGGTGCGCCCCGCCGACCCGGCCTCCGGGGAGCCCCGAGCCCAGCCGGGCCCCGCGGCCTGTAGGGGGCAGCGCGAAGCTCCGGAGGCGACGGCCGCGGGTAGGTGGCGGTGGGCCCGGGGGCCTCGCTGGAGCCCCGAGGGGGGGACCGCCGGGCCTGGGCGGAGCCGGGAGCGCGAG